GCAGCGTATTATTTGCGTGTACTTATTTATGTAGTATTTTATGATAAAAATTTATTTAGTAACTTTATGTTAAAATTTATGCAAATTAAATTTGGATTTGGATAACTTTGAATTCAAATGAATAAAAGTTGCTTTTAAGAATTTAGAGTAAATTTTTTTTTTTGATTTACTTCGCTAGAAAATACTTTGCTATAAACTTTGTAAACTGAATTTAGATACCGATTAAAATGAAAAATATTGCAAAAAGAAGTAACAAACTAGTAAATAAATAAATCATAAACTAGTAAACAAGAAATCAAAATTAATAAACTTCTTTGGAAATCTCCCAGTAATTGACAAATTTTATCGTACAAAGATGCATTTTCTCAGAATTGTTTTTGTACTTGTCTTTAATAAAGTCAGCAGAAAATTATATTTCAGAAATTTTCATTACATAAGATTGACTGCTCTGTAGTCGTAGAAGCAGTTAGTAAACACGCATCAAAAAAGTTGGATGATTGTATTATTCTTGCAAATAGTTTAGTAAAATTTAGCTATATTTCTGTAGTAGAAAATAAGAAAGTTTTTGAAAATGGGTTTGGAAAAACAATATCATGTATTACGTTTTTAATCAGGTTTTTATTTTTTTTTTAATCGTTATTTTGGTGCCCCAAGAAGACCTGACGGTCTTATGTCTTCAGAAGAATAAGCTAATAATTTAAAGTCCTCACAACAATCCACTATTGTCTACGATGACTTTTTTTTTAGTTGTTATGGGTTTGGAAAAACAATATCATGTATTACGTTTTTAATCAGGTTTTTGCTATTTATAAAACAATTACAAATAACATTGAACTTAAGCGTCAACGTGGCTCAATTGTAATCGGCTTCAAAAATACTGTCGATTACAAATATTCCTCGTGGTAATATACTTAAATATTTAAACCATTGTGAAATCAAGATTCGTGTATTTAGAAATATTTTGGGAAGTGTGTCTCACTGTTATAACGTTAAAAATATAAAGTAGTTATATAAAAATATAAAACAGTTGAAACCAGTGACAGAAACAGCTGAGACAGAGCAGGTTCGCAAAAAGAACTGGAAGCTTTAGATTAGGCGTCCAAGAAATATTATATCTTAGCTTGTTTAAAATTACATGGCAACCCATTTACTTGCGAATCAGATGTCAATAAGTAAATTGAAAAGGAGAAAGATCTTTTAAATGTCAAACACAATTGATGAATGGGATGTTTATTTTAGTAATACTTTTATTTTTTTTTTATTTTTTTTTTAATCGTTATTTAGGTGCGCCAAGAAGACCTGAAGGTCTTGTCACAGAACACCGCGGAAGTGCATTTGTAATATATGTGCAAGTGTACTTAGTAATAGTAGATCATAGCAGTAAAGATCCACTTTGTTTAAAATTATAAGTGTTGATAAAAATACATAAAAACGCCGTCTTATGTCTACAAAAGAATAAGCTAATAATTTAAAGTTTCTACTTATCTTGGAAAGTCCTCAAAACAATCCACTATTGTCTACGATGACTTTTTTTTTAGTTGTTAAGGTGCTCCATTTAGAACTAAGGGTTTTATCACAAAGCACCGTGGATAAGCAATTTAACTAGGAAACGTAGAAGAACAATTTAACTAAAACAAATATACTCTTCCTTAATAAAGTCGCTTATCTGGTCAGAGCCAACATTGAAACTCAGACTTCTTGATTCTGAGAATGAACTCAAATCACTTCACCACGGCTACAATGAAGTTATTTCGCATTTTCACGAGTAATTGTTACAAATTATTCTTTATATGGAGTAATTTTATGCATAATTCCTAATTTTTTGTTGTATTTATAACTACACATAATAATTATATGTTTTATTGATAAAATGAAAAAAAAATATTTAACAGGGATTCTAGTTTGATAATAATAATGATTTCATTAAATTTAACAACTGATTGTTTAGTCAAAATAATCACTTTTATTGAAATTGAAGTAGAAGGCAAAATATTTATAATGAAAAAAAAACGATTGAGTAATCCGAAATCTAAAATATACGTATCTAGGAAAGATAAAAAATAGACCAATTTTAGGTGGTCTAAAAGACGTCTATTGCTTGCTGGGTATATAACATTCATAATATACAACAAATTAAAAATGATGTTGTTATATAATTGAACTTGTTTGTCTTTTGACTGTATTTGTCTCTCGTTTCTAATGTCTAATACACGTTACAAACACGAATGTTTCAAAGTATGGAAAGTTAAAACATTTTTTGCTCGTTGAGCGAAACAACATATCGTACAATCTCAAATATTCAAAGATTTTCTTAAATTTCTAACAGCGGGATATTTTTTAAGAGGAGCTATTTTAATTAGATTCTTTAAAAAATTTAGAATATTTTACTTGGAATCCGGTAAAATTTTAGTTTTATTTTTCGATTTTTTATTGTGCCAAAAAATTGCGTGTTTTACAGATCTGTTTTCAAGTACGTTGAACAGAATGATTTATGAATGCGCAGTTGCGGTAGTTAGGGATTTATATGTTTGTAAATTTTCATGTATTTCAGAATGCATTTATTTTAATGTGCATGTGCCACAAGGATCTCTTCTAGAACTACTACTACCTTTTATCTTCATAAATGATGTACCAGTCAAAATACTACACTATTTCAAAATTATAATACAATTATAAAATAGCTGGGGTTATCAAGTCAAATGAAGACACCATAAAACTCTGTGCCGACATCAATGAATGGTCACTGACATGGCTCACGTCTTTTAATTGTCGCAACATTCTTTGTGTAAATTGCATTTAATTTTTTATTATTATTGTGATGTGCATGACATGTAAATAAGATTTTTGGCCTTTAAATGACATCTGATTTCTGACCATTAAACCATTAGTAATTACAATGCGTAGATCTTGTTCAGATGTTGTGTACAAAACAGCATGTACGACTGCATCGAATGCCAACCGTATGCTTGGCATGCTTAAGAGTGCTTTTTGAAGCCGTAGTTGTGTACAATGGTGCATTTTGTATACTTTATACGTTCGCCAACAATTAGAATCCGCAGTACAAATATATCTAGCTTAAGATATAGCTAAAATTGAGAAAATAAGATATTGCTAAAATTAAGCAAGCACCAAGCCATGGAACACATCTCTACCATAATTCACTTACCCTACACTCAGCGATTATCAAGACTAAACCTGACAACTTTAAACAAATAGCCCTATGGGCATTTCTTTTTAAAAGAAACGTTCTAAATGTCTTTTAAATGTCTTTTAAACGTTCTTTACATGAGAATAATTAAAGACGTTTAAGAACGTAATTAAGAACGTATTAAAAACGTAACTTGTAAAAATGATGGGAAAGATGGGAAAGAGCTAGAGGAGATCTTACTAAGCAATTCAAAATCAGCAGCAAAATTATAGTTAAGTTTTATGGTTCTTCAACATCAACCAAAATTAACTTCTTTAAAGTACAGTTTTTGAGCTTGCAGACACACCAAAAAACGCAAAGCACAACTTGCCCGAAACTGTGTGAAAAAAAAACAACTTCCTCACCAAGCGTATAGTTAACGCTTTAACCCGAAACGCTAAGATTTCAAAAAATCTACAAAATTTCAAACACTAAAATTTTCATCACAGAGCGGCCTGGCGTTCCGCTCTTCATCAATAACTCGTAAATTTTATTGATTGTTAATAAATTAAAACTTAAAAAAATTAATTAATAGTAGATGAACATATTACCAATACAAAACATAAAAAATATGTACATTTCAAAATAAAACATAAAGTTTGAATACCAATAATAGTTAATATTTAACTATTATGGTTTACTAATTATTATGTTATTATCTAATCTAAAATTATTATTCTCTTTGTAAAAGATGCATCAAAGTGTACATACATCAAGTAAATTAACCGTAGTCGCAGCGAAGTGTATATATATAAACTGATACAGCCATATTCGCTGTGGAACGCGCATACGTTTACTGAGGGATTTTGTTTCGATAAACATTCTTTTATTATTAAGAAATCTTTTTTTATTAGCACTGCCGGTAAATTTATACAAATTGATTAACTAATTATATAATTCACCATCAAGAAATAAGTATAACTAATTTAAACTTTTTTTTCCATACTAACAATGCACTGCCAGTATATACTTAACTTTAAAATTTTATTTATTTTAATTTAGTCTTTATTTAATTTAAGCTAAGTAAGTTGATTAATTTGTAGAGATCTCGGCATGTTTAATTTTTACCTGTAAAAATTAATTTTGTTTGCATAACCAAAGGGCGAGCCCGGATAACTGAGATCTCGCCTAATTTCTAAGGGATCCCACTCAGGTGAGACCACTTTTTTCCATATTTCCGCTTTTAAAACAAAAAATTAAATAAAATGTGTAATTCAAAGTTAAATCGAAATTTCAATGTAATCATGTATTTTTTTATATTATTATTTTTTTAGTCAGCCCGGCTAACCGTGCTGGCCCGCCTTATGTAAACAGCCCCTTAGAAAATTAAGAATCGAACGTAAAATCACTTATGCAGAAACAGAAATTTTTAGTTTTCATAGATAGTAAAAGGTATGGGATGTTTAAAGAGTTTAGGTTCTAAAAGTTGTCAAAGTTTATGTATCATATATGTTTCATATATGTAGTCATACATATATATTCATATATGTTTCATATATGTAGTATATATATCGCATAAACACAAAACTATGATTAAGATGTTTCTCCTTTTCTTTACTTAAGGAGAACCTCTACTCTCCCTTACAAATTCTACTAACAATTTATATTATTTTATAAACCTCAAAAAAAAACTATTAAAATCCGTTTAAACATATTTTAATTACACTTAAACCGTACTCAAATATTTACAATAATTGCAAAGTTTCAATAAAAACAAATTAAATTTTTATTTACTTTTTTTTTTTAAATTTTGAACGTTTTCAAAGCTAAAACAAAAGTAAAACATTTATTATTCTTATGAATTAATTTTTAGATCGAATTAGAATTTATAATTGTATTATATGAACAATGGGTGCGATTGAATCCTTATTAAAAGCTGATCTTAAAGTTGTTGTAAAAACTGGAGACGTCAAAGGAGCTGGAACAGATAGTAATGTTTATTGTTGTTTAATTGATGATAAAGGTTTTAAATCACGGAATATTTTACTTGATGTCAAATGGCGAAATGATTTTGAAAAAGGAAATTTAGATGAATTTGACATTCGAAATGTTTCGAACTTAAGTAACGTAGTATCAATCGAACTATGGCGAGACCAGAAAGGAGTTAACGATAGTTGGTTTGTTGAGTATATAATTGTGAAACACTCAAACTACACATCTCCATTTCCCTGTAATCGTTGGATTGAAGCAAATAAAAAGTACGTCTTTTACATTTTTAACTCTTCGTTGCCGCAATACGATCCATGTTTATCACAAAGAAAACTAGAGCTTGAGGCAAATAAAGTGAAATACATCTTTACAAACAATTCTGAAGTTCCTAAACAGGTAAATATAAATTTTTTTATTACAGCATTGAAACAATTAAATCATTTTAAATGAAAAATATTGGATAAAGTTTCTCACTGCATATGTATTTGGCGCTGTTCAACTTTCTCTGACTCCTCTTCCAGTTTTTAAAAGTAGTTTAATAAAATAAAGGTGAAACAAAATACCATGAAAACATTGGTCTGAAAACGCTACATTTAAAAGAATAGAACCAAAAACGTTAATACTTGCTTCTTAATCTGGTTAAATTCACATATCCAGATTAACCAGATTAAGCAAGTTAATACTTTCATCTGGTTAAACTCACAAATTTTACATAAAACTACTGTTTCTAAATTATAAACAAATTTTAATAAATTTATTAATAAAATATATGAATTGTTTCTTATTTAAAAAAATTTGTTTGAATTATTTTTAGTTTTTTATTGAGGATCATTCTATGTTATAAATATAACTACTATATATACTATGTATGCGCTTTTTTAGAAGTCTACAACAACGCGTATTTTAGAAGTCTACAACAATGCGTATAATATTAGCAATTATGCGTTTTTATGAAACTCATTTTAAGAGTTTTTTTTTACTTAAAACTCTTCTTTTCATGTGGCTTTAGTAACTCCATTTTAAGTTCCATTATTTTTTTAAAACAATATTTTTTAAAAATATAATATTGAGAAAAAGAAATTTTCTTCAATCACCAATGTTTCTTACAAACTGTATAATATTCAAGAAGTTATAATTAGACTCAGGTAAAATGCGAAAATGCAGAATGCGGAATTCCAGAAATTTTTAACGAGTAAAATACGGGAATAAAATGCAAAAAATGTCTCCTAACCCAAACCACGTCACTATCCTAACCCTCAGTTGATGTAGCAGCACTCCTTTGTCGTTTTTACTAAATTAGTCGATGTATGAACTGAAGCTCCCAATAGGTTAAACCTATTTCAGCATTTTATTCCCGAACTTTACCCGTTAAAAATTTGTGCATTTCTGTCCATTAAAATGACAGCGATTAAAACTTTCTTTTGTGGAACAAGATAATTGACAGTAAACTTAAAAAAAACTGTAAAATACGTGAAAAGATGCTTGGTAACAAATCGCGAGTTAATTCTGGTGGGTAGAATTTAATGACGATAGCTTGCTTGAGCAGCAACCAGTGTTTATAGAAAAAAAAAAGATGCAACTTTACGACAATGCTTGATTAAAAATTGGAACAAATGCAAACTGGCATAAGTGCGCTAAAAGAATTTGCAAATACTGGCATAAGTGCGAATCGGCATAAATGCGAAGCAGTAGCATAAGTGCGAATCAGCATTAGTGCAAAATGGCATAAGTGTGCTGAAAGAATTTGTAAATATTGACATAAGTGCAAAATAGTATAAGTGCGAAGCAGTTGCAAAAACTGGCATAAGTGCGAACCAGCATAAAGCGAACTGACATAAGTGCACTGAAAAAATGAGCTTTTTTTTATTGTTATGAAATACAAATATTTGCTATACACAAACGCATCCTTTATTGTGTAATATTGTCTTTTTGTTTTCTTTTCTAACTTTAACTTTACTTTTGATTAATAATAGCTTTTAATTTTGTAGTAAAAGTCTTTTGCTTTTAATTAATAATAGCACCTTTGCTTTTAGTTAATAATAACAATGGTGTAATTAGTCTGCAAAATGCCAGAAGTAGGGAGCAACAGGTATAAAATAGACGCAGAAAAAAACTAGTGACTACATTATTCAAAAATAAGTTTAGCCCTGGCAAAAACAATACTAGCTTTAGTGAAGATAAATACATGTACATACATTATTCAAAAATAAGGTCAGCCCTTGAAAGGACAATACTAGCTCTAGCGAAGATAAATACATGTACATGTATATATGTATATATATACATGTATATATATATATATATATATATATATATATATATATATATATATATATATATATATATATATATATATATATATATATATATATATATATATATATATATATATATATATAAAACATTGTTCAAAGATAAGTTTAGACATGACAAAGATAATACTAGCCCTAGCGAAGATAAATACATATAGGACACCAATGTATTATCAAAGTTATATCAAGAGACATTTTTAGTTATTTTTATAACATCGTTTATAAATTTATTTAGTAATATTTGGCCCCAAATATAAATTACTTGCACAAATGTACATACATTACATTTAAACATAACAATATGTTAACTTAGTTTCAGTTTTTCTTACAAAATTAAAAGTTTCCAGAGAATCAATTTGTATCAAAGTCTATCTTTGCGAAGACTTTAATACTTTTTAACTTTCGTTTATTTTTTCACTTTGTTTGTGTATGGTTCTTCCATACAGGGCCGGCGCGAGTAGGTGTCACGTGGGGGTGCCATTACCTTTTTTTTTTTTTTTTTTTTTTTAAAAAAAAAAAAAAAAAAGGTAATGGCACCCCAGATAGTTGTAAACACATCATAAGCCAGGGCTTTCCCTGGCTTATGATGCGTTTACAACTGTATTGCAAGTCTATCAACATATGCAATCTGCTGAATTAGATGCTCAAACAACTGCTTTATCAATAATGTTATTAAAAATTCATATATCATCTATAAGATCAGAACACGTTTTAAATCATTTTTTGAATCTTGTGTTAATGAAGGAGTTAAGAAATTGGGTTGCAATTTACTTCCTGCTTTTTTGCCTCGCCAACGTTTAACTCGTTCTCGCTTTGATGGTAATACTTTGAACATGCACAAATGGGACACGATGGAATTTTACCGAGCTCAGTTTTACGAGGTATTTGATGTTATAAAAAGTCGAATTTTCTAGAAATCAGCGATTTTCAGAAAATTCAATGGAATCAATAATTGCTTTAAAAAGGTTATTATTGTCTACTGAAAATGGTGATACGAACATAAAAGCTTTAGATAATAAAAAGGCTTTCTATAAAAATGATATAGTTTATGAAAAATTAAAAGCTGAACTCTTTTTATTTAAATCCATTAACGAAACTTATAACATTACATATAAAATGAACATTAAAACAGGTAACTTCAATCACAACTATAATTGAAATGTTAAACGACTGTAAAGGTGTCGCAAAAATGTTTTCTGCAATACCAAAACTTCTAAAAATTTATTTGGCGATACCATTGACAACCTGTACAGCCGAGAGATATTTCTCATATCTAAGAATGATAAAGCCATATAGTTGGTCGACCTCGACTCAGAAGCGATTGAATCATCTTCTACTTCTTCAAATTCATTAATTTATGACCGTAGAAATAGATGTAAAAGCAATAGCAAAAGATTTTATAAATGGAAAAAGTAAAGACACCAGAATTTCTTACCATAAAAAATGTTAAATTATTTTAGATTGTAATTTATTTTTTTAATTTTATATTTTAGTGAAATATGTTTATAGTTGATATTACACTATATTAAAAATGAATGGATGTAAAAAATAACTGAAAACTAATATTAGTTTTATAAAATTTGTAAAATATTTTTAAACCCCTCCCCCCCCCCCCTCCTTTTTGTTTTAATTTCCTTTCGTCACCCCTGTGCACAAGCAGTCGGAACTGCAAAAACACAATAAATCAAAATGTTTACTGACAAATACTTGTTTAAATGCATTAAATAGAAAAATAAAATCTGCTAAGTCTAACTGTAGATTTTATCTGCAGTTAGACTTAGCAGATTTTATTTTTCTAACAGATTGTAACGATTTTATTTAGACTAACAGATTGTAACGATATTGTTTTTATTAGTCGAATCTATTGACCACCTTTATCGCATATATATGATATAATCAAAACAATTATTTTGGATAATTAAAACAATTATTTCTGATCAATAAAGCAAGCTGTTGATAAAAAGCGTATACTTGTATGTTATTAGTAGGTGATTTCAAATTTCCGGATATCAAATGGCACGATGACGACAGGATCGAATTACTAAGCCGTCAAAATAGTGAGGCAAGTGTTTTTTTAGATACTTTGGCTAATCATAACCTAGAACAACAAGTTGATTTCTCAACATTTAAAGCATCTAATAGAAAAGCACAAAAATAAGAACACTAATGAGTGCTATGAACTTTTCTGCAATAAATACGATAACTAGATAGGCAATCAGCGACACTGTTTCGTGAATATAGGAAACTAAAAAGCCAAGTTCAGAAAGCATGTAAACGTCGTGTTTGAGAATTTGAAGCACAACTTGCTTCAAATAAAAATAATCCTAAAAGGGCGTTCGCTTATGCTAAGACGGAACAGAATGTTCATGCATTTATTGGTGCCATATCTGTTGTAAAAGGTAAAACGTTAACAGAGGGAATACATATTGGAAACAGGCTTAAAGAACACTTCAAATCATTTTTTGTTGGTGATAGTAAAAATAGTCAGATACCTGTTTTTGAGAGAAGGCATTATCAAGAAGACTTAGGCGGTATAATTATTATTTTTAAAACGACGCAAGCTTATATGAAAGATTAGAACCCAAACAAATCTATTGATGTTGATAACATTACTTCAAAGGTACTTAAAGAATGTGCAGCTCAAATGACTTACCCTTCTACGTTACTTTTCAATAATGCGCTGTTCAAAGGCTCGACAC